TCTTCTGTTTTGTTTTACGAAAAATAGTTGGAGCTAATATCAATATAATCAAGTGAGAACATGAAACGAGTGAAGAAACTCATGAGAGCTAATGATCAGAGGCAGCTCACCTTTCTTTTTTATTCATCACGAGAGTTCCTGCGATAGCTAGATGTATGAGAGCTGGTACTAATCTTTATTAATTATTAAGCGCTGTACATTACTTAAGTAGGCATGGTCAATTGTTTGGTATTATGACATCAAAGTTATAATTATTAATATGATTATTAGCAATTATCGTTATTTGAAAATAACTTGCAAAATAAATGTACAAAGGTGTATATCACTGACTTAAACGTCATTAAAATCAGTAAAATCTCTTTCATTATCACTTATTCCATTTCCCACATATGAGCTACGAATTTTACATTCCTAATAATTAAAAAAAAATCAATAAATTTTTTTGTTCCCTTACTCCCTATCGTTATATATGTCACAATAAATTCTCAATAGTTTAATGCAGAAAGACTGCGGTTAGAGATCTTTTTTAAGAGTCATCATTAATCGAAATCTCCAATCTGTTTAATTAATAAAATGTGCAGGGAAGAAAATATACAACATGAGAATTGAGTACGGTATAATAATTTATTCATTACAAATAAAGGAGTCATTAATACATTGATCTATCAAGTTGGTCATTTGCAGTAGTAATATATATGGAATACCATCTTTTCTACTTTCTATGGATGTATAATAGGTGTATAAACTATCAAGTGTATACGATTGTGTGCGTAGTGCTGCGCGCGTTTTAAGTACACTCTCTATTAAAATCTGTAAAATATACATTTACATATACATATACATGACTATACATAAACTGCGCGCCACTAATGCGGAACGAGTTCTCTCGACAATTATAAAATACAAACGTACATGTATGTACGTCTAAAGTTCACGAGACAGTGAATCGCGAGAAATATTCATCTTCTTTACGTGCGAGGTCACCGGTCATCAAGATAGTCTGAATTAATGATTTCGCCAATGGCAATCGAATCTTCCTCATTATCTCGATTGATTAAACATGAAATAGAGACCACTTGTTATTCATAACGCGTTCTTTATACAATGATTGTGATCAACTTTTCGTTTTGTCGAAGTAAATATATATGTAAACCTATAATACCTGCTCCAAAATAAATAACGAGTCGTAAGCTTATATTATTATAGATTACAATATAATAATTTTGCAACTTTAGGAGAATACTTTATTAATATACACATTTTTACAAGCTTTTAGGAGCGCCTATGATAAATTTCCAATCGATCTTTATAAGATCATTATTGCTTTTAATTGAACAGAATTTATACATTGATTATATCATGTGATACTATTTATATGTCAACTGCGATTGATGAGAAAAACAGTTGTTATTAATAATATTCTTTTTTTATATACGAAGGTAAACTGTAGATATAAATTGTGCGTCATGTATTTTTATAGATGAAAGAAATTATTTCGCAATTAGAGAAGCGTAATCTGTTTATTTTTATTATCTTTTGACAACCGGCCTCTTCGCACTTATCAAATCCTATTTACGATATCTACACAACATTTTTTTAGTCACATCACAACAATGTAATTTTCTAACATAAAGTTTCCCAAAATTGTTGGCCACGAAATATTTTTAAAATTATGTTATATTTATTTAATACACATTTTTTATACGTATAAGAACATCTAAATTTATGTATAGATAAATTTGCAATCGATCTTTAGAAGATCGTAATTTGCCTTTAATTTTTAACAGATATCTTGTTACACAGAACTCCGTGGCTTCAATTTCGTGGAGAACATGCTTTGTGGAAAAAAACCATCCCATTCTAACAGCACAATTATCTTTTACTTTATAGTAAGCTTCTCTAAAGGTCGATATCTTTTTTAAATTGAGGCTCGAGTTTAATCTCAGTTCAGAAGTACATTCTAGACTTTGGTCAAGATTCTTACGTTATATAGAATTAATCGTAGACTCTGGATTACATAGATAAGTAATCCGTTAATTACGTAGAGGTGCACAGACGAAATTATCTAATAAGAGTACAATTTACGCGATAGAGAATGTCGTTTGGACGTATTACGGCGTTCGCGAGCAAACGCCTAGCCTGAGATAAACTACGTGTTCGAAGTCGCTTTCGATCCCTGGCACTCGTTTTAACTAAAAATATTTTCTTACGACAAACACACTTCGTGATCATTCAATTGATCATGTCGTGAGTTCTCGTTGAATAATGCGATTTGCACCATGAAAGTATTTCGGTGAAAATTGCGTCTTTCAATATCGTCAGATATACTTTGTTTAAAGAAGGAGATGCTATGTGCTTTCAGGATTTCCAGTAAAATCTATAGCTTAAATCGTATTAAAGGATAGTGATTTTAAACCGTAAACTATTGGCGTTAGGAAATTAACCTTTTCCAATAAAACGTGTCACTTTAACAGTTCGCAATTTTTCTTTTAAATAATGAACATTTGTTCCGATCGATATTAATTTTCTGGAGCTGACGTCAAAATCTGCAACAGTTAACTGATATTGGATCTACGAGATTCATTTAATATACGTTAATTAAAAGGAAATTAATTAAAAGGCACTGATTAATTTTAGGAAATTTCCAGATAAGAAATTATGTAGATTATGTAAAAAAAATGAATGTGAATACTAAGTTTACTTTAATAAAATAATTCAAATTTGCAAATGCAACGTAAAGAATATAATTGAGTGGATTCAATAGATCCACGTCAGTTCCGTTAAAGAAAAAGTTATAGGAAACGTAATTGAAATTTTTAATAGCATAATTAAAATTGTTCGGAAATTACTCACGTTGCGTAGACCGTAATACGTAGAAAACATATGTTTGACGAAAATATATGACGCTTGGGATTAACGTCAGCTGCAAGAGGCGGCCCAATAATATGAAATGTTATCAAAGTATCGATCGAAGCAGGAAGGCGTGTAGGCGAACGATCTCTGAAGAAGTTAAACGATTTTTCTCCAGCTGATGGAAGTAGGAAACACGAGATTGAAACTCTATCGCGATCTACGGCATAATCGTAATCACGTTGCGCTATAAATGAATATCGAAGTTTCGGTAGATAACAAAGTTAATTAACGTAAACGATGTAAAAGAATTATCCAGCTTCAGAATTATTCAGTTCAAGATTTTATCGATCGCTTGCCAATAATGCAGAATTGCATTTAGAACCGCGTGATCAAGAGGAAGATATAAAAAAAGATGCCTTTAATAATCATTAATAATAAGATCTGACGCTCCGGATTCTATTTTACGGTACGATAAACGATCGCGTGATCCGTGAAAACGCTCGTAATACGTAATAGTCGTAAATCACCGCACTTTCATTTGGAGCAAGAATTTTCTACTTGGGAGCACTTTGATGAGACTCTTCCATTTGTCCCAAGGTAAAATGTCGGATGAGTAATGAAAACGATTCCGGGCGATATCATTCGCATTCGTGATGAGAATACTCAGGCAATTATCCGAAAGGCATCGTAGAGACGTGTGAGAAACATCTTAATCGTTTAAGACGACTTATTTCCTTCGCGTTATTTCAGCGAATAATTGGTGCACGGATTAAAATCTTTGTAGATCTTGTAAACACTTTCAGCATTGACGACTCTTGTGAAATGCATTTGCAACTGTTATTTATTATTTTATTTATCAATTATGTATACTTTGAACGAAAAATATATGATATTTGTAAAAATAATCAAATAGGGGTGCATTTTACGAAATTGAAAGATAAGGCTCTAATAAAGTTTTAATTATTAAAATTTAGGATTGTACAACTTTTGTATAGATTTTCTCGATTTTATTATGTTGTAGTTTCGATTTCGAGCAGCAATTGTTTTAATTTAAATGCAAAAAAAATCTTTTTACAGAATAAAGATAAGTTCGAAAAAAATTATAAGAATAACTTTTTCTCGGGAGTAAAAGTCATATCATTAATTTTACTTTGTCTGTATTTAATCGAGGAGCCAGTTCGCTTCCATCTTATAGATAATTGCTATTTACTTTGTGCAGTGCACTTTTAACCAGATAGTGTCAGCATCCCCTGTTGTGTCGCCTTTTAGAAACGTTTTAACAGCAGAAAGCTCTTTCGAGGACACGTACAGGCGCGAAATGAGAATAATGGTCCATTGACTATACTCTCACACGTACACTCATATCACTCTACTGTCTAGATACAAAGCTCGAGTGTGTTTAGAAGAAATCACAATTTGTTGAATGTCAGAGAGCTATTATACTTATAGTGTATCTCGCATAGTCATCGTTGCGTCGCTACAAATCCGTACTAGACTACTGTCTTCATTTTAGATAGATGCCTTTGTAGCCTTTGAGACTTTAAGGCAATGCTTTTTTCCCTCTCGTAAGAATCTTTCTTCCAGTGTGCGTAATGGTGCAAAAGTTACTCTCTCTCTCTCTCTCTTTCAGGAAATATGCCCTAGCAATAGCCCACAACGCTTGATATTGCTGAGAACGCGTCTTACGAACGAGATACTGAATGTATCCTAAAGAGAGTATTATGCCGATGATAAAACTTTACGCTCGGAGAAATATAAAATCGATTTTTTCATAGATGAATCCTATCCTGCCGCTCTTTAAATTTTAACCTTGCGCGCGATATTATTTTTCCATTTTACAGTTCTATTTCAATCTTCTGCCTACAATCTTTTTACAGAATTTTTTTTGGGTAAAAGTGAACTTTTACCCTCAAATTACTCTGAAATAAAAAAGAACAGAGTCCGGTTCTCTTCTTCTAAGATACGAGTTGAAAAAACTTTGACAATGCAAATAGAGATGTTAAAAGGTAACCCAGAATTTTTCTCATTTTTTGAAAGTTTTCTAAACAGTAAAAAAAAAAAACGGGCTGGATGAAAAAGACTCAGATTGCAGATGGACGGTTAATAATCGATCTATCCGTTCCCAGGTTTCAATTAGAAAATCCTTTTAATTCTTTCAATCTCTTTTTCGAATGTGACTTCTTTTTAAACAGACGATAGAATCGGAGATCTGTGTTATAATTCCTGGATTTCCATGATTGGAAAATCCATTTTTGCGCGCAACCTTACCAAGATACGTTAATGTAGACGAAATCGTGCATTTTTCTTTACGTTCATTCATATTCCACTGGAATTTTTCGTGCGGCTATAGGGCTTTTTCCGCGGAGAAGCGTGAGAGAATTTAGACGGTGATGTAGTAAGCCCGTGGTTTACCTCTTGACGTGGTCGGACTGAAAAGGATTCCTGGTGTCGTCGGGCTAAATGACCAGGATGCCCATGAAGGCGGTGGAAACATACGTCATGACGTATAGTACCCTTCGTGTCGTTTGCGACACTTTTCACGAGCGATATAGCAGAGCGCTATGGTGATTAAGATGGCAATGGTGATCCCCATGCCTATGCTGATCCAGATGATCTCCTCGTTTATGCCACTGTAGCCCTTTCCTGAAACGAGGCTGGATTTATTTCGCATTTCTACATGCATCTGTACACTTGAATGTCAAGTAGCATTTTATGTCCGGTTTCACCAACGTAATATTAACTTTAATCTTGGTTTAATTTACTCTTTATTTTTTTTCTCTTAAAAATTAGAGAAGGATAAACGGTAAATTAAAGTTACTCTTACATTGGTGATACTTGTTTATATTATACTGAATATCACAAAACTTTATAGAATTGATTAAAAAACGAATTACAATTACGATATTATTATTTGGAAAAAATAACTCAACAACATTATAGAATGACATTTTGATAACAACGACATAAAACCACGCGTGTATTTATAATCAATATCTAAAAGACTTTCAAGCTGAATTGACAGGCTTGCAACTGTTATTTGTAAAAGCTTTATTCCTAGAGCTTATGTATCATTTCCAATTTCCAATTTCCGTTAAAAATACAGAAACGTTGGAGTTTCATAGGAATAAAACTCGCGCAAGTCGCGTTTTTAAGTTAATAAAACTTTCGTGCCTTTAGATCTTGATTATAAATATAATTTTATTATTAAAATATATTAATTTCATAAAAACATGTACAATTTTTCTTCTTCCAATCCCATTTTACTCGATGAAGAAACTTAACGTAAATCTGCTTTATCTGGCTTTACGTTATCTATCTTTATAACTGCTATGAAAATCTAGTTTTCCGCTTGCCATAGTGAATACACCTGCTTCATTTCGAAATAAGTTCATGGAAGATAGATTTAAGAGGATTTAGGAAGTACAGCATAAACGGGATGTCCCATAATAATCATATTTTAATGTTTTATATTTTGTATGTTTGTTTCATATTTCTGATGTAATCGTTAGCTGCGATAAAGTTTTTTATAAGAAATAATTGCGCACGATAAATACAGCGCTAATTCCCATTAGCTCACTACCTTATTTGTTACATTAATATTTATTCGCTTTTACACGAGTTATGTCATTTTAATTCCTTCTGAAATTAATTAATGCCTTTTAATAAACATAAATTAAATAGGTCAACGTTAGTAACTGTATTACAGATTTTGGCGTCAGCTCCGAAAGGTTAATAGCATTTCACAGGATAATTAAATTAAAAATCCTAATATAAAAGTCGCAATAGCTTTCAAGTTGTAAAACGATCGAAATTACGATGCAATATTCCATTATCTTGTAAAGCTTGTTCCGTATAAATACACCTACATGCGTGTCACTTATTGATTTTATAACTTAAGTCATATTAAATTTTATTCCGTAATATTGATTTTTTGCCTTTAATTTATTACGCTCGCTTTGGATAATTTATAATTTTTTTATAATTTGCGTCAAAGTTTACATTTGAATTTTATTTACAATTTTATGTATCTGTATATATTGATTATGTAAGACATTGTACGATATATTTTTGTATATATTTTATGTGTATGTTATTTATTCTGATTTTTAAAATACCTTTTATATCTATACAATGTATATAAAATTATAAATAAAATTTCACGAATTATGTATCATCCGAAATGGGCTTTATATTGCAAATATCACGTACATAACAATCACTGTTATTGATAAATTGATTACTGATAGTTAATTTAACCGTTACATGTAAATTATTTAGACGTTTTATTTTGACGGAGGTTTCACTAAATAAGTAAAAATGTATCGGAAAAATATTTATTTTTCTAAATTTGCTTGCCACGCGAAAGTTTTGCTTGTTCCGTTCCGGTATGATTTTTCGTTTTCAAAATATAGCAATTTGAAAATACATGGAAAAGACATTTTATTCCATCTTACCATTGCATTATGTGGAAAGTATAATATTATGTGAGTAGAAAAGAGCACTTTCTTTCCACATAATACAGAGTAGAGAGTAGAGTACTGAGATGAAATAAAATATTTTTCCATATATTGCACGAGAAAAGAGAAAAGAGCCATTTTTAATTGCTATATCTCAAAAACGGAAAATCGTACCGAAACGAAAATGCATTTTAAATTTTGATACGTGCTACTATTTAAATATAAATACAAATTTGTTGCCAATAAAATATATACCATAACGTAATGAAAATCTTTCAAACCTGGCCTTTACATCATTTTTTCTCAAAATTGAAAACTATTAATCGAACAACGTACTCATGTTCAGCAGTAAAAATACAAGCGAAAATGATTGTTCCCATTTCAAATAAAAAAGAAAAATGATCAAATTTTCTTGCCCAATATTCTCAATCGAGAATCAATCGTTATTTTAGGCAAAACGAGGGGTGTGTGTGTGTGTGTGTGTGTATGTGTGATAATCCGAGCACGTTAAAATTATCTACATGTGATGTGAAACATATTCGGCACACAATTATTATTTCGCAAAGCTTTGAATATTTCGGTTTCGATAACAATGCGGATTTCGGATTTGTTTATGTGGCGCGTAACGGTTAAACGGCGTTAAGTTAGCTGCGTAAACAAGGTCACCGCGCTATCATTCGTGCGTCGTCACTCGAGCGAGCAGGCAGGTGCTAGGCGGTGTGCCGCGTATAATACGTCGTATTACCTCTCGAATCATAATGGTAGGAACGACAAAGCTCCAAACGCGATTATTCTGTACCAACACTTAATGAATATCAGCCGAATATGATCATTTAACTTCTGATTAACAATTAATTCGTTCGCGTATCCACATTCGCGTTGGCACGGCTTATTTGAATCTAAGCAGATATTTCGAATTATATATTATTTAGATCAATTAACGAAGCGAAATGTTTAACTAAATGTAAATCGTAAATTATCATGGTTTCGTGGTGATACTTGTGAGGTAATTGTTTCTACAATAGTTTTTCAAGACGATAATGTAATATCCGCATTGATATTGAGCGTATTGAGCTTTACGAGTTGATTCTGTATCTTGAAACGAGTCTTGAAAATGACAAAAGTGAGCGTATTTATTAGGCGTTGACCAATAAAGTTATAAATATTCTCATTTAAGGATACAGAAATCGACTGGATATAATTTGTCTATCAAGACAAAGAGCGGAATGATTACATGGAATGATTATTACATATGAATCGGATCGAGTGAGTCGAGTAATGAAAAGCTATAATACGATTATTTATTATTAATACGCACATTTCGTGAAATGCACGCGTTGATAATAAATTTATGCGTCCGGAATGCGTCGCGTGAGTTCTTGAATTTCATTTGTATATTTTTGGACGGTCTGTCGCGTTTCAATCAGTCACTAATTTGATTCGCGTCGTGTGGTATCCATGAAATTGCTAGCTTCACTCCCCAATTTGTCAGTCACGCGTCACGTTTCACGTTGGTCACGCAATGCACAGACGGCGATGGCCGTGGAAACGGAACAGATCACCTCGGAATCGAGAGCGGAGTTTAATTAGTAAATATAATCCTTTATCTGTAATACGTTATTAATACATATGTAGGTCCGTCGTTTGTATTTGGGCGGGACATTACAAGGCCTATTTCGCGAAATTTATTCGGAAATCGATCACGCGAACGATCGTCAAAGCGATCATAATCGTATTTCCGGATAATTGCATTCCGCGGATATTCGTCTTCAAGTCGTTAGCTTATTCGTTTATGTTAGAATATATCATCAGCGGAATAAATAATTGCCCTATAAAATGCTTTCATGGGCGTTACTTATTATTCAAGGCACAGAAAGTATACGAAACTGAGACTGCGTGGAACGATAGAGACGGTTAGTGGAGCTTGAAGTTGGCCTCGTCTTAGAAATCGCTTTGCCGTGCGGGATTTACCATTACGTTAATTACGTTAATTAATTCGCGAGACGCTTTATCGCGGGTGCCAAGCGCTTTTAATTCCATCCTATTGTTCTCTTCTTGCGCTATTCTTGTCGTCGAAATGTAACAAGATGATGAGCGTCGCAGACATTTAGCGTCGGGAGTGCCGTGTATAAAATGTCGCGCGATTGTCGTGATTAGTATTGCACGTGTTCGTAATTATCGTGCTCGAGAGTGTTGTGTCGTGCAGTTGTAATGCTAAAATCTGAGAGGAGGAGGAGGCATCGGGCAACGGCGGAGCAACCATCAGGTAATTTATTATTTATGTATATATATTTGTGCGGAATTAATCAATTTTTATGTCCCGAAAAGATTTCGAAATTATGATTCATAATAATTCATAATAATTCGGAAATAATATAATTTTTTATTTAATATCTTTTTTTATTTAATATTCGAAAGATGAATAAAAATTTAACGCGCGGAATAATCGTATTTTGAAATATTAATTGTTTTCAGTAATTTGGATGTTTTTTGGTATTTTACAGATCAACTTGTGTCTCGCACCTCCGCTGCTGCGCATCGTATCGGTGAGTGATAAATCATTTTTTATTTTAATCGTGAGGAAATGGATTTGTGAAAATTATAGATATTAAAATATACGAGATGTAAATAAAATAAGGACTATCAGAAAAATGATCAAAGAATTTGAGAAATTAGCTTTCATAACACTAATTAACATACATGTAAAACATTGAATTTGATAATAAGGATATTACAATAAAATATTTCACATTATTTATTTTTGTAAAATATCAAATACTTAAATTTTTAATTTGTTGCTGATTATGTTTGAAAGAGAAATTAAAAATTCATATTTTGAATATGAAAACATTACAAGTGAGTCTAATATATTTCATAAATTTATTTGCCTTGAAATGGATGGGCTATGACTAATTAAAATATTTAACCCTAAATAATGTATATATAATATTGTCTATATCGATTTATTGTGCATACAAAAATACATATGTATAAAGTTGAAACAAAACTTATTATTAGTCTGATTACTTTTTGATTACATATTCTGTTGCATTTATGGAATATTGTATGATAAATGCACAATGTTTGAAATTTAAACATGCTCCGATAGAAATAATTTTTAACTCAAGCATATAAAAAGTGATAAATAGTATTAGAGTGATCTCTGCTTTGTAAACAAAAAATGGTTTTAAATCTAGTAAAGATACATTACTATCTTTCACACTTTTTGTCAAATATTTTACAGAGTTAAGTTTTTTTAAGAAATGTATAGTTGAAAGTGTGAAGATACTATTATTTTTAGATATTTTTTTAGTATCAGAGATAGTAACTGATTGATAAAGAAAGTTTTTGTTTAAAAATACTTTTACGGTATTTTAATAATAAAGACAAAAAACTTATTTATTAATTTTTTCATAAGTATCTATATAAATAAAAAGTATTTATGTAAAATATCATAAAAGAGATTGTTAATGATATATTTAGATATCTTCCTTCTTTTTCTTTATCTGAAATAGATACTTTAAAAATAGAATTTAAGATTTGTAGCCTTTCTCTCTTCTCAGGTTTAGATATAATATTAATTGTCAAAAATTGTTTTCAATTGGCGAATGTTTAAAATTTAGGTAAAAAACGTATTCTAATTATATGGTATTCCAATTAATTTATTCAATAAACATTGTGCTAATGATTACCATTTATGCCAATTTTACCTTTTGTAGCCTATCCATTTATATTTATTGATTTTGATTTTATTTGAAAAAATAAGATGTGAGAAAGATATGAGATGTACTAAATATTTTACAGAATATAAAAAAATTTTATAGATTTAGAAATTATTTCAGTTTTATAAATTTTTATGAGTTTAAAGAGAAAAGAAAGAAAAAATTCCATTAAAATGTTTAACATTTAATTGAATTTTTATATATCACATTGAAATTAATTCTGATATTAAAAATATAATCATAGAATAAAAAAATTTATAAAGAAATATGTATAATAATTACAAAAACGTGAAATATTCATGACGTAATATTGATTATGTGGAAAGTCTGCTTTCATTTCATACTTTACGTTTCAAGAATTATCTAACTTGGCATTCTGAACTTTGTACATTTTAATGAGAAACAGAATAAAGTTTCTTTTGACTGATGATTCTGTTGATTTATGTATATTTCATTACTTTGTCACATTTTTCAATATATTTATTTCTTCAAACCAACAAAAAACTATATTAATCAAATAGTGAAATTTAAACAATATACATGCTAATTATACGAATAATTAGTACACAAGTGACGTTCGAAAAATCGCTATTCGATTTTAATCAATGATTCTGATGTGAACTATACAGATTTTTATTATTATTTGTTGAAGAAAGCAAAAAAGTCGTTATTACACCGCAAACTCGAACGGTTTCCGTTTCCGCGTAATTTAACGCTTGTTATTTGACTGTCGCTCTTAAAAGCCTTCTTTTGGGCCATTACGATAACGGCGAATTTTAAACTTTTGTTGTCGACGAATTGTAATTGCGCCAGTGTTCGAACGGTGCTTAAAACTTAAGATAACACTTGAATTCGAGGTACGCGACTTTTAATGAAATTATAGCTACTGAATGTCAGGATATTTTTTTGCTTTTTCGCGTTTTAAAACTTTTATTTGAATTCCGGTAGAATAATGTATCTTGTCCGGCGCAAATATTCTACGCTTCTCTAAATTCTAAATATCACTGTGGAAAAAATAAAATAGACAAAACTTAAAACTCGTGAGATGCTGATGATAATAAGCTAACTTTTCTTTTGAAGCTCTTTCTTTCTTCAAGGATTTCACAATCCTTGTTTTTTCGATACAGCGAAGTTGAAAAAAATCATGATTTAAAGGTAGAAAATTTTTTAGCGCGAGGACAGCTTTTTGACACGGTGATATTTAAAATTAACAATGAAGGTTGATGCATAAATGGATATACATATATAAAGAATGATGGACATTTATATGTTAAATAATACAAATGACACGATAAATTTGATAAAAATAATCAATTCTTCATTGAAGTTTACGTAAATTCAATTTCTACTTATATAATAAAAATGCTCGAGATTTTAACTTTAAAGCTATTGTGATCCTGACGTTTCCGTGAAATTTTCATTCTTATTAATTTTTATTAGAATATATATCATTAAAGCTTTGTTATTTGTGAGACATCCTAACTTTTCCTTGAATACTTCTCATTCTCTAAATTCTTTAGAGCGGAATCTCTCTTTAAAGAATGAAAATCAAGCCAGTCTCGAAAAAGAGTAGTTTAGTTTTCAATCTTTAAGAGTGAGATTAATTCTAAAAGTTTTTAGGAAGCACGTAATTGTTTCTGCATAATGTAATTGCGTATTTTGTTAAATTTCATTTTTGCGAGAAAATATCATATTTTCAACTTTAATTTTTCTATTTTGTTGATCGGTTCGAGTTGATTTGTAGAATCATTGTTTAAAGGCAATTGTTCCAATCTTCTTTGAACCTCTATATCAGTCTATGCTCACGAAAGTCGATAAGTCATCTCAAAACTATATTCCACAACTTGGAGAAAATCCAATCGCGAGTAGGTGCTCGATATTGAGGCGACATAGAGATTATTTGTAAATTAGGAGAGGATGGCCTTACTGCAGTTGGTCCAAGGTCAACATTTTCATTTTTCCACTATGTCCGGTAAACATTAGCGCAATTCTGGTTGCGTTATTGATTTTGCCAACAATTTCATATGCCGCTGCCAAAAGTGCGCCGTGTATTTGAGCATTTATGTCGGAATTCATATATCATGCGATTGAAAACGTTGTGTGACGTTATAGTGGCGTAATAGAATCAAAACTCGGTTCGCATTCGAATATTGCATATATTTGATAACGATAGATTTGAAACATTTATGTAAAAAGGTAGTAAAAAATAATTTTTCACTCTTTCTCTATATAATAATCGTGCAGAATACATTGGAATCATAATGTTTTATGTAAACAAAGCACATTGATATAATCATTACAGCCAAGCTTTTTTTTAACAAAAATAAAAGTAATATTTCAAACGATAGCCAATCATTTTGGATAAGCGATTTTGTTATATATATTATATAAAACATAATAAGAAACAATTTCAACGTGAGAAATAGTAACACATTAATACACACATTTTTTTTTTCTGCACGAAAGGACTTTAATTCGCTTTTAGAAACGAAAATAATTCGATATTAAAAAAACGAACTTATTTTTGTAATTCATAAACATAAAACAAACTATACCGAGGTTGTGAAAAATGATCTACCTATAACATCGTAGCACGGAAATAATACGCGTAGGAAGAAAAGTCCTCTCGGCGACTTATTACAGAATTACGCCACTGATTGCCAACATTATATACCACAATCATACCGAAGCAATTTTTGTAACTTATTTACATCAATACTTATAGCCTATGTAATAAATTCGCAGTCATAACATCAAAAATTGCTTTGGTGCTAATGTGGTCTTATATATACCTAATGGAATGATATCCACATCCATATTACCATTGTAGTGAGAGCTATATATCCCAACTTTACCCGCGACTCGTCCACCACCCGGCATGTTTATAGTTTTTCTTCACGGTTTGTCACCTGAAAGAGAAATTTTCCGACTTTATTGTGGGCAGAGCCTTAAAACTCAAGTTCTAATGCACAATTGGAAAGCACAGGCAATAAGAACAAGGAATAACAGATTTTTGAAATTGTATATTCTGATACACATGATTTCTAATAGCTAGAAATTTGTTTTTCCCCTGTTCCTATATATTACCTGTGTTTTTCAATTGTGTGTCTCAGACTTAAAGACTACAAGCATGATAATATTTCCCCTTTCTTCTTCTTTATACTTCCACATTTCTTTAGCATCTTTTCCTTATTATAAATCTTATTATCTTCTTCACAAACATAATACGATTTCTTTACATTTTTCATCATCAGTTTATTAATATATGAACTGCCAAAGCATAAATTCTGTTTCTCAGTGTTTATTAAGTTAATTAAATTAAGAACATTGAAATGCTCTCCATGCTTTAATACAGATTCTATATCATTTATAATATTCAATTAATTAATTAATATTTAATTAATTAGTTACATGATTCATTTTTCTAAAAGGTCTTATAAATAATGTAACTCCTTGAAGTTTAAATTTTTCAAAATTTTATATTCTATAAATTGAAATGGAAAATATTCTCTACGTTAAATATTACGACGTATCTCGTAGAAATTGCATACTTATGTGCAACTATAACTATTCTAACTACAAGAATACATAGAAATGACAGTAACTGTATCCATATAATATTTTAAAGCTCCAATTTTATCGACAACAATACATTTATTAAATATTCGTCTCGCATACTTCGGCGCCATTGAGCTTCATTTTGATGGAGGAAACGAGCGGAAGTCACGAAGTGACGAGTTTCGGAGAGAAGAATTTTTACGAGTTGGTTTTTTTTCTGTTATTTAATATCGAATTTTTCCGACTGAAGAAATTACGATCTTTTCAATTGGTATACATCATTATAATATTATTTGAAGACAATTCTAGTTATATGTATAAATATATGCATTCTGTATCGAAGAGAAGAATTTACTATTTTATTATAAATTTAGGTCAAATTTTTTACTATAAATGTAAATATAATAACTTAAAATATAATATAAATAATAATGACAATTGCTTGATTTTTCTCTAAAATAACAAGAAGAAAAATTAATACATTTATTTAATAAATGTAATACACGTATCTTCGAAGTTTCTCCTTCCAAATATTTTGGAAGCGGTTATAAAATCAAGTTATTTATGATTTGTAAAAAATATTTCTTATTATGTAAAAAATGTGTATCTGTACACCCTATTTTTAATTAATTGCATATTTAGACGATTACACAGAGATAAATTAGAAATAATAAATTCTTCTAAATCTGATATTTTCATTTTTCTTTATTTATTGCTTACGACCGTTTTATTTATCTCTACTCAAGAGAGAAATATATTGAAGAACGTGCATTTGCATAGATTATTTTTTATTGTCTTTTTTCCGCGACTGGTTGATGCCATCATACGCACAAAAATATGAAGGGATATAAATCAAGGACGAAGAGATTTCCTGATTTCTTTTGAAATTTCTGATATTTTCGACTTCTTCACTGTGTTGCTAAAAGGTTCTTTTCAAAATGGCAAAATTGCGGTCCTGAAGCGTCAGCGTCGATCAAAGAATTTGCTTGTTAGCCGATAAAAGTGAGTTTGCTATGTGGGAGGAAGCAAGGGGTTCGTCATCCTCGTGTTTTTCATACGAAAGCATTGCTGTGTAAGTACCTCAAAGATTCGGAAACAGGGTACCTTACGCGCATCTCTTCCACTCCGCCTAATCGCCAAACATTTTCTCTCTCGCGATCCGTATTCGGCCAAGCTGAAAAAACAATTATTATATATTACAATAATACTTCATATAATAATTAATTATTATTATGTAATAATTTTGATTATTTAATTTATCTTACTATATATATTATTTTTATTATATTAATATTTATAATTTTTGTGACATTCTTATATGTTACTGCGAGCAAAAAAATAAAAATTTGCAGTCTGTAGCTTTTTAACTAATAAAATTAAAAAGTCTCCGAGGTTAAGTGTTTATAGAATTGTGTGGAAGTTTTACTTCAATATTAATTTTGAATTTGCTTTTTGAATTGAAAAAGAAAGGCGACATAACAGTGAGAATTATAACAATATTTAGATAAAACATAATTATTATTCTGGTGCTTCTATTGTATAATGCGCTTATTATTATGCAACGGTTGCATTATATCATTTTAATTAATATTTATGTGTGTATGTATAATTAATTGCCTTATGTATATGCAAATGTATACGTATCTGTAAATGTAACATTTGAATGATAAATTATAACTTTTTATTACATAAAAGAGCATGTCACACATAAAAGTTCTTTATTATATTAATATAATGGAAGAGAGAAAGAGAACAAGTTTGAGAAGATGGTACTTATATATGTGACTCTACATTTTGCTTTTGTATAAAATTAGAATCCTCAATTATAATTGTAAACATTTTTTCTTTTATTTATAATAAAATTTATCACCTTTCTGATCTAAAGAGTGAAAAATAAAGCGGAAGATGTGATCAAGCGTTCTAACACAATCTCGTGTTCTTTCAAGCCGAACACTTCTTTAAGCTCGCTAAAAGCTGCTTCACGGAGCAAAAAGATTATTGTTGATGATTCCTCGATTTGTGATCCTTATGATACGAGATTCTGTGAACACTCGCAGAGGCAGACTTTTTTATTTTGTCAGTTGAAAATCTAGATCGTAGAAACTTTTATCTTCTTCCTCGCAGCAACATATAGAAAATTACAAGAATTATACATAGATATTGATATAAAAAAATAATACATATGTAAAGCAATATAAAAACTATAACCAAAATAAATACATAATAGTAATTAAAATATTTATGATTAAATAATAGATAGTCTTCGCAATTCGGCCCTAAATTCGTTTTAGGAATTATTTAATAATAGAAATATTTATATAAACATACAATAAAAGAGAACCTCTTTTCGGAATACAGACTTTCTTCACGGTTCTACAAATTTTAGTGAAGAAAATTCATACGGAAACTGCAATTATCTACGTGGGTCGGCTGAAAAGTAATGTCGTTTGTAAACGAAAAGAGATTCTAATGAAACAAAAAAGGCATAAAAGTGCATTTTATTGGCTATAAGAATGTACTTTTCAAATGGTAGTCACCATTTTCATCTAAACATTTCTCCCAACGGTGAATCAGTTTCCTCATCCGATCAATAAAGAAATAAATTCCGATGGTATTTTCTTGATTCACGACTTCATTATGTTCTTCGGTTCGTCATCCGAAAAATGAATTCTAGTAACCCTCATCGTCATTTACAAATCGTTTATAGTGATGAAACTGTTGATTGAGGTACTGTGAATGCTGTGTGTGCAATAAATTTTCGTGCGCCGGGAACTGACGGGTTTAATGTCCTGCGATATTTATTTTTCTCTATATTTTAAAGAGGGGACCTTATAAGGGCATTTATTTTATCATAGATAATGAAGTGAAGGACGCAGTGAAGTCGTGGATCTCTAGGAAAGACCGTCGGAATTCTCTCTGACTGAATGAGAAAACTGGTTTACCGTTGGGAGAAATGTGTAGCTATAAATAGTAACTACGTTGAAAAATAATGGTATGTTCCTGTAGTCAATAAAATACACTTTCATGTTTTTTTTTTCGTTTTATTCGAGTATCTCTTGCTGTATGTGGGCGTTTCCAAGTTACGTGCCACTGTCCATTCCTTTTCAACCGACACGCGTATTCTCAATACCTATAAATATCGACAGTCTGAAAATAGCTAAGAAAAAAAAAACAACACAATATTTTCTAATCTTCTACACTTCTTATTTATAGCGATAAATTTTTTTAAGAGCTTTTTGCAAATTATTTTTAATTTCGTTTGGAATTAGATATTTCTAACGTTTAACTAGCACAAACATCTCCGGTATTTCGGCTTCAAATTCTAGAATCCGAGATTCGCTTCGAAACGGCTGTGCTATTCCAGAATTCAAGTTTCGGCGAACATGCTCCTGAATTCAAAGCGCTCTTTTGCGTTAAATATGTAACTTTGCGTGCTCGAGCCTCGAAATCTGATGACATCGCAGTGCGATTATTCCCGGGACGCTTCTTAATAACGCTCTTCGCTTAAGTGAGATCAACAAGTTAGTTTCGTTACACGTCGCGTACACGCTTCGTTCTCACACGCGCTCAAGAGTGGTTCATTGTTTTGCACAATTAAAATGAGTCCCGTCGGCACACCAGACCGGTATTCACGAGCTGTCCGACTAGGAACATGTAGGGATAGAAAGCTTTTGTCTTGTAGAGAGCGTTTTGTGCGATGACCACTACTATCGTTGAACAAGCAGTGGATGCTGCGTGCTGCAGCTCCATATATCCGGTGTCTGGTGTCACGCTTCGACACGTTTGCAATTAGGCGCAATGACATCCGCGTGTTCGTGGTTTATTAATTAATGATGGCGGTATTGTTTCTGGAAAGTGCGGTGCGGATTTAGCGGTGCGGTCGGCCGCGACGAATTTGCGAGTCTCTGCGACAGCATCGGAAATTGCATCGAACGTGGACACTGTTATCGCTTGACGTACACGAGTGACTCAAGTTCACATGTTTGATTGTCTGTGAATATTAATAGTAGAGTCGTGGAAACGTTTACGTTCTATTGAGCGAGAAATTATCAACAAGATCAGATATGGTCCAACGTTATACGAGCTAGGACTTGCGAATTTATAATTTCAGAGATTGGGGGAAAAATTATATTACATATGTTATTATGGTTACACTTACATTGCATTTATTTTATTAAATATTATGAAAATTGTTTTAATGAAATTTTTCATATTCTTAACTTTATTGTTTTTAGTAATATTTTTTAATTATTCTTTTATCTTTGTAAGTCTTATTAGCATTTATTAGACAAGTATCTTTTGCTCGGAGCTATTCCAAGTTTGATTATTATTTTGTGCTTAATGCAAAGTTAGTTATTGAAACAGCGACCGCTCTAATTAGCAAAATTAGTGAAACTCCATTGCTTGAGGCTACAACTAGTTTCTGCATCTGCGGAGTTTGTACGTAGCTTACCGCAACGAGGTGATAAGAAATTGTAATATTTTGATTCCGGAAAATGGAGACAGTACCGCTTGTAATTGTATTGCACAAAACAGCTATAATGTTTCGTTGAATATTTTCCACCATATCGCATCATGTATGCTCTTAAAACTATGTTAACGATTGCGCATAAATGGAGATCTTGTATTAAATTTTTCGCTTATTATTCCGTTTACAAAAGAGACATTTTCGTAAGCGGACAGTATTCGCTAACTATCCACTTGCAAATGTCGAAACGCAACATTTAATATCATTCCAAGAATAAATATATATGTTAATTAACAACTTAAAGGGAAAACATGTTTTTGAAGTTTAAACGAACTCGATTAACTCAAACTGCATTTCTCTTTGTGTGTCAAAGCATTTGCCCTGAATTTCTTTTGTATCTTGGCTACTGTTATCAAAGGTTTCAGTAACTATAACGTTGTTATCACTAAGTTCTGTTACATTTATCCTTTGCAATTATTGCTTTATACATACAGCTGCATTTTACGTTGGACTTTAATTATAATTGCATAAGTTTCAAAATGAATTTGTACAATTTTATATAATTGAAGAGCCGTTTGAATATCGTTTCCATATAGTGTTCGTAGAGTTAACAAATTGCTCTTCTTAACCCCTTTATTCCTATGGCATTAAATGGCATTTATTGTTGTATAAATGTCAGATGTATGAAGTCACACGGTACTTAATTATTCACACTGTTATATCTTTAAATAAATAATGTTTGCAAAAGACGAGTATATAATAAACAGCATGACAGCGTTACATTTTTTTAGGACAATTTTACAGTTGTTCTGTTTTTAATTATGCGGCGGTGTACAGCTTATAAGTATTTTCTAAGCATTTTGAGAATACTATTAAGATAGAGACGGCGAGAGTCTTTGTTTCTGCAAAGACACACGTTGTTTGTAAGTGAAGTTACGCAGTTGTCTTGACGCGACGGAGGATGAAAGCTTTTGTTTGCCGCTTGCTGCGTGCCCTCTCTAATGCAATCGACAAAGCGCCTGGTGTTATTGTTCCTCTCGTCAGCATCATTGTCATTGATGAACGGCGTTGTTATTCACAATTCCCATTAGCATGCACTATATCTGCTTCTGCGCGATTGACTCTACTGAGTGCGATTACTTCACCGAAACTCCGCGATTTTGCGTCGCGTTAATTTACGCTTAATTCTCTAGTAAACTGAAGTAATTTTGTAAAATTGAATTGAAAAGTTCATTCTATTTTAGAATAAAATTATAACATTTTTAGAAAAATCAATTAAGATTTCGTATTTGTTTGAAAACATATGTTATAAAATATATGCGAAAGTAAAATTTAATACGTAATAAAAATTACTTCTTCAATACGTAATAAAAAAACATTGTTTGAAATACACAAGATAAAAAATAGAATTTTAATCAAAATCAGCAAGCAAAAAAGGGCAAATAAAATATTGAGCATTGTTTTTCATGCTAACTTTCATTGCTCTTTTTTACTTGTTGATTTAAAAATTTTTAAAGTTCGTTTTTATTTGCAAATTTTAGAATTTTTATATCAGAATATCTCACATTTTTTGTACGTTTTATTTCAAATAAGACAAAACAAATAAGATGTTTTTATTTATTCATTTTAATGTAGAATTGTAGAGGAAAGAAAACTATTATGGAATAAGTGGGGATTATGGAATATCGCGCAATTTGTTTTGTTTT